GATGGAACTTGGAGTCGAAACGTCAACAGGCAAGGCCGAGGGGGTGTGGTCGTCGAACACTTCGGGGACGACTGGTTTAATCCGCAGTTGAGGCAAGATTCTCAAAATTCTAGTGAGTGCCAAGGTTGCCAAGCAAGTTGAAATGACCGGGTGTTATCGCCGCTTTATGTGCTACCACCGCCTCGCACCGCTAATTGTGACTACCAGTAGTGCCGGCGGTTCTTCGCTAAGTCTGACGTCAATAGCCGCCCACTCAGTCTGATTCCCCAAGTGCCCAGAGGGTCCGACTTGTAGGGATATTGTCACGCATCGCCTACCTCGTGTCATCAATCCCTACCTTGCAAAGGCCATGAGTCAGAAGTTTCTTGTCTCGTGTGAAGATTGGGTTCTACCTGGTTCCTGCCGGGAATGCAATGACATGAGGAAATCCTACTGGGTATGTACGAATCGTGGTGCCTAACAGTTTTCCGCCGCAACAATTCGTCCTATCGAGTCCCCGTCGAGACACTGAGCATCCCGATACTTCCCATAGGGTCGCCAACCCCCAGACTTTGTCAATCTGCATTGAATTCCGTGGTGGCATACTTGGATAGATGACAAAAGACAGGCCCAACCGTCCCTCCTTGACTCTCCATTGTCCGGTCCGGAACCCGCAACATTCTCCATTCAGTGACTCACCATGAGCCTCTCATGTCAACAATGTGGTCACGTCGTTGCTCAGCGTCATTTCTCATTCATCATTGCAAACCTCAGAAGCATTCTGACGAGTTGAGGATCGAGTATTTGGAATCCTGAGAACATTGCTCCCCCACCGCCGCCTGCCGTGCCTTCCACATCACGGCTCATTCAGTCATGATGCGGTAATTCATTTCTGGGACAGACTCGGATCCCCTCGCCATTGTTCGAGGCTCGTTTCAGTTTCACCTTGACATTCAGATCTCTAGGGCCAGTTCTTCCCGGTGGCAACTTGGATCACACGTCTGTCTCTTCCCTCCCCGCATTCGTCAAGGGCCTCTAGCGTGCTCCTCCACAGCGTTCACTTCCCAATCCGCAAGGCGGCCCTTGCAGGTTGTTGAGCTGGCGCTATCGGGTCAGATCTAAAACGATTCCAGCGTCTCCTGACGGTGCCGAGCTCAGTGCCACTGCGCCTTGTTCATAAAACTGTCACCCATCGCACCATCTTCCAGAGTCCGGATGAAATCGCGATTTCGCTGGTTACGACTGCCACGTCTTCTTGTAGTCGATGGCGAATCAACATACCCATCCGCAGGAGGCGGATAATACGCTGGGCTAGGTTGAAGTCTGATTGGTTGATTGGGGTCTAGATGGCTCGCAACTCGTTGAATAGCGGCAGGAATACCAGCCTGCTGTTGATCCATGGTGGAAGCACGTTGACGGCCAGCCCTTTGTGTGGCCTGCGCGTAAAGACTTTGCTGGTGATTGTAGTGACCGGGATTCATCTGCGAGGTTTGCTGCATCATACCCATCTGTGCAGGATAGTTTCCCGAGTGAGTCGGATATGGTGGAGGGGCGCCTTGTGGATGGGCTGGATACATATTGTTGTACATGGGTGGAGGTTGGGATGGTGGATAAGGGGTCATCTGCATTGCATAGGCATTCTGAGCCACTGATTGTGCCTGTGCTTGTGCGTGGGCTGCTTGCGCAGCCTGTGCCTGAGCCTGGGCGGCCTGAGCAGCACGTTGCTTGCTGAGCGCTTCAGCTTGTTGCTGTTGCTGTACTCCAGGCGCAGGGGTCTTGCTAGAGGGGGACTTCAGGTTCATCGGAGGGACAAACGGCTGGGTAAATTTTTGCTGTGTGATGAAGGGATGTAGCTTCGCTTGCTGAGGTGACCAGCGCTCCAAGGGATTGATGGTGAGCAGGCCGCGAACAAAATCGGTAAATGCAATGCGGTTGTTCATTTCTATGCCTGTCAGTAAATGGCTTCGTGGAGAACTTGTTTACGATCTTACCTCTTTCCACTTCAGCTTGTTTCATGTTCTTCCGAGGCATAGAATAGCTTCGAATGATCTCGGGAAGCGTTGTTGCTTGAAAGTACTTTTTGCTTGGTTGCTCTTTGACGTTGTGCTCGCGAGAGTATTGCTCCATGCTTTTGAGTCGATACGTGCGACGGCCAAACTCGTCCGTCGTCTTTTCAAAAAATTCCCCCGATTGTTTTCCCATCTCCAACATCCACGTCGGCGGCATGCCCAGCATTTCGACGATTCGAGAGACTTGGTTGTACTCGGAAGAACCGGGAAACAACGGCAGACCCAGAAATAACTCCACAACAATGCATCCAAGAGACCACATGTCAATGGCAGACGAGTAAGGAAGCCCCAGTAAAACTTCAGGGGATCTGTAAAATCGAGATTGTATGTAAGTGTAGACAGTCTGCCTTTCGTCGCAAGCAGACCCGAAGTCGATAATTTTGATGATCGGACTTTCCAGATTTTTCAAGAGGATATTCTCCGGTTTCAGATCACAGTGGATCAGCCGCGCCTTGTTCAACAATGTCAATCCGTTAAGCAGCTGTTGTGCAAAGACGCGGACGAGTGTCGTGCTGAGACCTCGGAATTGATTCTGTTTGATCAATTCATATAAGTTGACGCTGAGAAGCTCGAAAACGAGACACAGATGTTGCCGATGTATGAACGTGTCTTTGAGCCGCAGAAGATGATGGTCATCATTTTTGTCGAGTTTCTGGTTTAGCAAATCCAGAACTGAAACTTCCATCATACTCTGATTGAAGTAAGCCGTGCGATTTTTGATGACCTTGACCGCAACAACTTCTTGTGTTCTCAGATTTTGGCACTTGACCACTTGGCCAAAAGTCCCCTGACCTAGCACATCTAGAATTAAGTATCGATTCTTGTGACCCGCCTCTTCACTCCCCAGAATGTCGTTGACGTAGAGAATGTAGTCGCTATCGTCGTTATCGTAGCCATCATTCTTTGTCCCTTTGCTCGGTTTTGTCAAAACCCGCCTTGGATTTCGGGATGACTCGTATTTGAAGCTAGGATTACATATTCTGTACGTGGCTGGGAGATAGGTGGTAAGCGCTTGCAATGGGCTGATGAAACCGCCCTCTGGATTTGCCCTCCTATAGGGTGGCTGGGCGTTGACCTTGGGGTTGAGATCTTGCATGGTCTTGACCTTCCTGAACTTTGGCACCTGCCCTAGTCCCTGGTGCTGTGATTGTTGTCTTGACAGAGGAGCAGGCCGCGCGTTGGTTGCAGAGGTAGGATAATATGACTCGGGGCTCAACGCGGAGCTCTGGATGGCAGATGCATAATCGGACGGATATCTTGTCGGGGTCGGGGGTTCGGTGTACCGCTCTGTGTTGTAGCTGCTTTGGCGAGGGGGAGACTGTCGCGTCGTCTGGGACTGATTGAGGTAGGAGAAGGATGGATTCTGTGTTTTAGGACTTGAGACGTAGCCTGCGCCCGTTGATTGAGCATTCATTGGAGAGTAGCGCTGAGCAGCTGTTGAGATTTCAGGAATATAATGGGTGGACAGGCGGTGTTGGTGAGTCGGTCGTGGAGGATATTTGGTTCGGTTATAAGGATCTGCATCTTCCATTGGCACGTCGACCTCACCATTGTGCTCATAAGGACGCGACTGGGTCTGAGACGTGTTGTTGGCGGACATGGCTTCTCGGACTAGTTGTGTGTTGGGCCAACAATAATCACGATATGACGAGAGTTCCGTACCGCGATGGGGCTGAAAGCTGCGCCGCAGTTATCTTGCTTGTCCTGCCGCAATTACACTGACGACGCATGCATCGATCACACACGATTGATGCAATGATTCAACCCAGACAAACGCGGCCTCTTTGAAGTATGAAGCGAAGCGAGATCGGAGGGCTCGTTGGCTTTCAGAGGGGTAGACAAAGTGGCGGAGTGACGATTGTAAGCGCAGTCAAGAGAGACCGGTAGACCCAAGGCGATAGTCGACGCATGGTAGAGAAGAGTTAGAGGCTCAACATAAAGCCATGGTGCTGAGGACTGATTGCTTCACAAGTGACGGCATTCAACTCTGCGTTTCGAGTGGAGGTGGAAGAACTGGAAGTGGTGAGCTGGCAAAAGACTGGAGGAATCAGATCGGCCCGACAGTGAGGATGGAAATGCCGTGGAGGGACAAAGGAGACGGCGACAGACTAATGTGAGACGAGACAAGCTGTCCACGTATCTCGGTCTATTGTCATGAATATGAATGGGATCGGTTGTAGAGAGGAAGTCGGGAGAATGTTTGGTGTTGTCAGAAGCAGTGTCGGTTGTCGAGTTTAGTGCCTGGCCTGGCTGGTCAAGGCTGTGTGCTTTCAGCGAGGACTGAAGTGCTGGCGGCTATTACCGCTGATTATTGGGCACCCTTTCTTGATGATTGGGGGGCTTGTCCAAGCCCAGAGATGAAACCCTGCCGGGGTGCTGGGGGTCCTCACTCGTTTCCAGCGTCAGGGATTTGGGATGGTCAAAATGGGCAGGTGAGCCAAGAGCTGTAAGCTCCTTTGCCTCCCAAAATTTACGGCGGCGCAGTGATGCCGTGAAGTGCAGCGACATGTTGCAGCCTGGGCAGCCTAGGCGGCCCAGTACCCCCGTCCTGTTCTCATCAGTTAAAAAGGGCATTCACGGCCTGATGATGGTATGAGTTTTGGCTTTGAACTTGTATCATCGCCGTGCAGGGAGAGCGCTACACCTTATCTATGCTTCGCAGAACAGATTTGCGTGTAACGGCCTTCGTTCGGTCGGGCTATCTACCACATTCTCCTCATCTTGTCCGTATCTCAAGTTGCCACTCTTTTAGCCTCAGGTGGCGCTCACATTTCGAGAGCATATAGCCGCTGATCTCGACTTGACTCGCTTCTTTCTATTCTTTGCGTTGCCATTCCGACGCAAAAGTCATTGCGCTCAAAGAATCCAGACGGCGAGAGAGATCCTCCCCGATGGTCATGACGACATCCATCTCCTGCACAGTCCACTACCAAAGCCTTGACTCTCATGATCATGGACGGTGAAGGCACGCAGGGCACCAGTCCTCATTCGATAACTGAAGGTGATAATATGGCCGAAGATTCTGTTACTCCTGTCCCGCACACCGGTCAGTCTGCCGAAGCACTTCGTCTTCGAAACCTCGACGCCCAAGTGCGTGATCAAGATGACCTGGAACGAGATATTGGGCGGGAGGCAGACCGGCTCTTGTTCGAGCAAGCCCATCAGCGAGACCGACAGCGACTTGAGAAGTCCAAGGCACAGAAGCAAAGGCTGCAGAATCAGATCAAGAAGACAAGAGATGACATGCTTCGTCCCATTGGAACGACTCAACGAGCACGCTTGCGCCTCGATATCGATCGTATGCAAGGCCAAATCCAGGAACTAGACAATGATATTGCTGAGATCGAGGAACGAATGAGGGAACGGGAAAACAATGTAGGGATAGCAGGCCAACCCGAGGCATCAGCCACTGGACGCTTGCCGAATGAAACTCAACGCGACTATCTGATCAGAACCGGCAAAATCACCCCTTTCTCTAAATTTGGTCTGTCATCTCATGGCGCTTCGTCGGCGACTTTGCAAGGAGCCCTTTTCGACGCCGAGGAAGAACCTGAACTCGGTGATGTCGAGCCCGGCGCTGAAGGTGGAATACCCATGTCCCACCGAAACCTGAGGCAGCCTGGCTTTGCCACTGGTTTTACTGATTCAAGCGCTGAAGATGAAATCCAAGCCGATCAACCGCGAAAACGGAGACGTCTGATGAGCCAACCGCCCATAAAGGACGAAGACTCATCATATGACGATGGTTCAATCGAAGACCAACTCCTTTCAGAATCCGAAGATGAAGTTGGCGACGAAATGCCGAGTACATCGGGAAAACAACCGAGAAGAAGTCGAAAAGCGGTAGCTCAGGTTGAGGACGAGATCGAGGATTTCCGTCGCGTTGACGATGGCAACGAATTTGTCTACAAGTCTAGGCTACAAAAATGGGCCTTGCGGAGGCGGAGAGCCCGCAAACATGCAGCGCGTATTGCGACGGAAGAGGAGCAGGAACAGATTGAACCTGGGGAGGATGATCCAGATACCGTGACAGAGGAAGAAACATATCTCCCGCATCCTGAAGTTCCAGACACTCTCTTCGATGATGGCTACAAGCTCCCAGGAGATATCTACCCCAGCCTGTTCGACTACCAAAAGACTGGAGTACAGTGGCTATACGAGCTGTATACTCAACAAGTTGGGGGAATCATCGGCGATGAGATGGGCTTGGGCAAGACAATCCAGATCATTGCCTTTTTGGCCGGACTTCATTACAGCAAAAAGCTGGATAAGCCTATCATTGTAGTCTGTCCGGCTACCGTTATGAAACAATGGGTCAACGAATTTCATCGATGGTGGCCACCTTTTCGAGTCACAATTCTGCACTCCTCCGGCAGTGGTATGGTCAACTTGCGAAATGAATCCAACAACGAAGACAGGCTGCTTGATCTTGAATGGGATCCGACTCGGAGAAAACAACCATTGACCACGGCCCAGAAAGCTGCTAGCAAGATCTTGCGACCAATCCTAGAGAAAGGAGGTGTGCTCGTGACAACCTACTCTGGTCTACAAACCTATGCTCCTCTGCTGATTCCAGTCGACTGGCAGTATGCGATACTTGACGAAGGACACAAGATTCGAAATCCAAACACAGCTATCACCATCTATTGCAAAGAACTACGCACTCCGAACCGAATTATTCTCTCCGGGACGCCCATGCAGAACAATCTCATCGAGTTATGGTCTCTCTTTGACTTTGTCTTCCCTATGCGGCTGGGCACGTTGGTCAATTTTCGCAATCAGTTCGAGATACCAATACGACAGGGTGGATACGCGAATGCATCGAACTTGCAGGTACAGACCGCCTTCAAATGCGCAGAAACACTCAAAGATGCCATCAGCCCATACCTGCTGCAGCGATTCAAGATCGATGTCGCCTCCGATTTGCCTAAGAAAAGCGAGCAAGTGCTGTTTTGCAAGCTGACACCCTTGCAGCGCGATGAATATAAGAGATTCATTGGCTCAGGGGAGATGGACGCAATCATGAATGGGAAACGGCAAGTTCTCTATGGAGTCGACATACTGCGCAAAATTTGCAATCACCCAGATCTGACTGATCACAAGCGATTGTCTATCAAGCCACGATATAGCTATGGCGACCCGTCAAAGTCTGGCAAGATGCAAGTTGTTGGTTCACTCCTGGAACTATGGAAGGAAACTGGCCACAAGACTCTTCTCTTCGCCCAGCATCGCATCATGCTTGACATTTTGGAAAAATATGTCAAGTCACTTTCGGGTTTCAAATACAGGCGTATGGATGGGAATACACCTATTCAATTGCGACAGAGTATGGTCGATGAGTTCAACAACGACCCGGATCTGCATGTCTTCCTCCTGACCACTAAAGTCGGCGGGCTTGGGATAAATCTGACTGGCGCTGATAGAGTGATTATCTATGACCCTGATTGGAACCCTTCGACTGACCTGCAAGCCCGAGAAAGGGCCTGGCGCTTGGGTCAGAAGCGCGAAGTGGCCATCTATCGTCTGATGACTGCTGGCACTATCGAGGAGAAGATTTATCATCGCCAGATATTCAAACAGTTCTTGACAAACAAGATCCTCAAGGATCCGAAACAGCGACAGACATTCCACCTGGCTGATTTGCATGATCTCTTTAGCCTAGGGAATGACGGAGAACCGACCGAAACCAGCATACTCTTTAAAGATGCGCAGGTCAAGCATACTTCTAAACCAGCTGATGCTCCTAAGACTGCCGGAATGGAAGCGGAGACGCAATCGGCTCCTGTCAAAAGCGATACGACGATCGGGGCTCTACCAGGTATATCGTCCATGGAGCAATACGTTGGAGAAATCGAAGAAGAGCAGCATGCGAAGGAGGGGTCTAACTCGGAAGATAAAATGATGGAGGGCATCTTTTCCCGTGCTGGCATTCACTCTGCGGTTGAGCATGACGCAATTATCGATGGGAAAGCTGGAAAGAAGGTCGCAGCCGATCCGGTTTTGATCGAGCAAGAGGCTCGAAAGGTGGCTGCCGAAGCGGCCAGAGAGCTGAGACGTGCCGGTGAGGTTGCTCGGACTGTTCCAATTGGCACACCCACTTGGACCGGCCAGTTTGGTATCTCTGGACGTCCCCAAGAGACAACGGCTCAGAGGGCATTCAGTTCCAATTCCCGAAACAGAGGTGGTGGGCTTCAATCGTCTAGTCTTCTGGCAAACCTGCAGCAGCGCCATGGAAGTCTTGCATCAAGCCGAGATGGCACTCCACGGACAGCTAGTCCCGCTAGGTCGGCAGACTCGACTGCTTCTGTTTCCAGAGATGGAACGCCAAGTTTGCCTCAAGGCAAGGACTTTGGTAAACTCATCCGTGATTACCTCACTATCCACGGTGGAAGTGTGTACACTCAGATGCTGATCGATCATTTCAATCGCCTCTGCACTACTCCTCAGGCGACCCTGGAGTTCAAAGAGACTTTAAAGTTGATTGCCAGGTTGGAGAAGGGAAGTCGGGGACGCGGCCGTTGGGTGCTTAAGGATGAATACAAGAATTAAAAGGCTTGAGCCTTCGATGGCCATATTTCAAGCCGCAATGAATAAGCGTCATCATAACCAAATGAGCCTCGTCAATCACTTTCGTCTAGTAGTCCTTGAGGTGACCAATATTCCGGCTCTGGGCACTGATAGTCCACCCACACCAAAGAATCCGCAAGCAAATCTTGAATGACAGTCTCAGCACGCGCCCGCTCCCATCCTAGGTTGAGCTGCAGGAGGGATCCTGTTACACTGCCGAGTAGTTGTAGGACTTCCAACACCGTAGACTGATCTGTGTTGAATTCCTTTGGCACCGATCGGATAAAGCGCTTATTCGCAATCGTGAGAATAAGGAATCCCGACCCAAGGGGTTCGAGTGACTTAACAGCCCGCTCAATGTCATCTTCTGACACTTGCAGACCGCTACCAATGGCTTTTCCCCTGGCCACGCTCTCACAGCACTCCTTCAGTCCAATCAAGCCGCCATTTTCTGCCCTCGTTGCCTGACACAACTCCACAACCCTCACCGCAACCGAAAAATAAAAGTCGTTTACATCATGCCCCAGGACTTTCGCCCAAAGCGAATCCGCTTTTTTACCTTTAATGTTGGAGCCCGCTAAAGGGTCGACGCCGATGGCATTGCACATGCGCGCGAATTCGGCTCGGAATGTCGGGTTTGATTTGATGGTCGCCGCATGTTCCAGTGCGAAGTTGTGGAGCAGGGACTGAAAGACTTCCAGTTGCGCCTGGAGCGAGGCTGCGTTGGCGGATTTCAAGTTTGAGCCGTGCGCAGCGTAGGATTGAGCGGTGGCATTTTTGTTGGTGAAGGCGCCCAACCCGACACCTCTCCTGGTTGACATTCCTATATTTGAGGATAGAATATATTACATTAATATGCGCGTACGTTGTTAGAAACCCTGAACACTTGGAAGGGGAAGGCTGGGCTCGTTGGTGGCTATGCCAAGAGCGCGGAGAACCACCTTTCCTTTTTGGGTTAGCCCTTGTGTTGCCCACAACTCGAATTTATTCGAAAGCGCAGTTGGAACTTTTTGACGTTCCTTACTTCTTCAACCTCGTCAGCGTTCAGCATCATCACCAAACACGATGACGAAGCCAATTGTGAAGTCGTAAGTATCCTTGCCATCACGCTGACTGTTGGTATCTTCAGATATGGTCCGCTCCCTTTTCGCTGGTTTCGCTGTCGCTGCGCCAGCTCGATCATCCCAATGGCTCTAGTCCGAAGACATGTGAGAAATCATCACTTAGGAACAAAAGTCGGGGCTTTGAGGTTAGAGGAGCCAACGCCTCTTCCTTGAAATAAATTGAGCTCGTACGACATGCTCGTCTGGTCGCAAGATCTGAGCACCTGTTGTGGAGTCAAAACCTTTCCTGATCTCAGATCGGGGCGTTGTCGGTTGAGAGTCCAAGATGAGAGGGGGCCATGTGTAACTACTTGCGTCCAGTCAATCTTTTCTCACTGATCAAATCTATTTCGTCGAGTTTACGCCAAATTACCAGTTTGAGAATGCCGCACCATAGCTGCAGTTCCGACTCGGCGACCATTTCACCTGCGGACTATACTGATTCGATTCCCTCCCGTACAGATCTGTGCCGACGCAGGATCAGGTCCTCGTCCCTGAAACCTTGTTGAAGAAGAGAAAGAGCCAGGAGAAGGCTAGAGAGCAGCGTGCGGCGACGCTCGAGAAGCGAAAGAAGGTCAGTACTTTGTCCAATGCCACAAAGGAAAATAATGTGGTGATGATAAATACCACTGCGCGGCTAGGCCTTCGGGGTCAATGTTGTCGCTTTCGTTATACCATCTTTCGGGGCTGAGCATTCTTACCGCCTTCACAAGTTTCGATTATCAGAGATGCCGTATGCAAGCTAACATTTCAAGAATAGGCCAACAAGGAGAAGCGTGGTGTCATCTTCAAGCGCGCTGAGACATACGTCAAGGAGTACCGTGATGCCGAACGCGAGAAGATCAGACTCGCTCGCCTGAGTAGGCAGCAGGGTAACTTTTTCGTCGATGAGCAACCCAAGCTAGTTTTCGTTATCAGAATCAAGGGGTGAGTCAATCATACCTCCGCGAAAGCAACCTCTAACCGCTATTAGTATCAACAAGATTGCCCCCAAGCCTCGCAAAATCCTCCAACTCCTCCGCCTCCTCCAGATCAACAATGGCGTTTTCGTTAGATTGACTAAGGCCACTCAAGAGATGCTTACCATCGTCAATCCCTACATTGCTTATGGCTATCCCAACCTCAAGACTGTCCGCGAGCTCATCTACAAGCGTGGATACGGCAAGATCGACAAGCAGCGTATCGCTCTAACTGACAACCAACTTATCGAGGACAACTTGGGCAAGTACGGCATCGTGTGCATGGAGGATTTGATCCACGAGATCTTCACTGTCGGACCAAACTTCAAGCAGGCCAGCAACTTCTTGTGGCCCTTCAAGCTGTCCAACCCCAATGGTGGTTTCCGTGCTAGGAAGTTCAAGCATTACATCGAGGGTGGTGATCTCGGTAACCGAGAAGAGGCCATCAACGCTCTCATCAAGCAGATGAATTGATTTGACACCCTGATTGCGGGAAGTGTGGCCAGTAATCCAGGAGCTTAAGTTGCGATGCGCGTCTGTCAGCGAAGCTCCTGAGCTTCCTGGCCCGAATAGTCTGATGGACGAAATGGATCAAGGCGCTAGTTATGCAATGCAAATGCAATTCCATCGCTGAGAAAAAGCTAGTGAAAATGACGCCCAACATATTTTCTCGATGTCCTTGCTCGTATGTATGCGAAGCGAGTAAACCAAGCTGCATTATCTTATGTATATCGAGTACAGCGAGTAGCACGAAACCGAGATTGATCCTCGTAGACCTCAATTATTACGGGGGTCAAATCGATTGTCCCACCGCGACAAGGGATGTCAGAACGTCATTCCCAAGCTGACATGTTACCGTACTATCTGCCTTGGATCTACCTAGCGGGCTAGGTCACGAACGGCCACCTCCTCAAGCAATCACTTCCGTCATCTTCAGTCTGCCTCAAAATGCTTCTATCAGGCAATACTATGCGAAGGGCCGGTGATTCATCATTAACCGCAGTTTGAGCTCCTGCACTCGGCACGTCTCACCATCGACTAATGAGATGCGTGCAGCATCTCCGAGGTAAGGCTTGACTGGTAAAGTATCTCGCTGTTGGGCCGCAGACTTCAGTGACTTGCTAAGTCTCATTTTTGAGGACACATAACCTTTCCCAGATCCGCGGCGTGACAGGCCAATACCACTAACTGCAAATACGAGATGTCGGTGGTCGCGAGGCACCCTCAATACGGGGGCCCCTACGTGAATGCACCATACGTTTCCTCTAAGGCCCTATGAGGTAGCTAGTCGCTGATAGGCACAGCGTCTCGCCATGTGAAGTCTATCCGCACGGCGTCCGCAGATGGCAGACGCGACATTCTCGCGGAAGCTTTGACTGGCAGGAGCTGAGGAGCTGTTGTGCAAGGACGCATCCCCATTTCAGGAAGATCCCGCTTTGAGACATGAATGCTGTGAGTTGACATCTCCCTGCTTGGATAACAGGACTCAATGATTCGACGCGTTGGATCTTCACAGTGACACCTTCATTCACGTCAACGGTTGCCTTTGACGCTGTGCGCTGTCTACCTCAGGATGATCAGACAGCTATTGCAGCTGATTATATTCAACCACTGCGCTATATGCTATGCTGGAATCTCCTTGCATTACGCCCTGTGTCTGGAAGCCCTTCATATCCAGTCTGATTGGAGCACTCGAGCATTCGAGCGCATTGACCTTCGCGAATTGCGCAATTCTGGACTCCGGGATTTCAAACTCTTCGCAGGGTTCACATGTTCTCAATCTACTGCCTCGGCCTTCGACTGGTAGCATATCCTCACAGTGTCACTGGACTGCGGGTCTAAGGAAGCAACACGTCCTCGAAACGATTGCTCAAGAAGCTCCTCGCTGACTCGATGGCGCTTCCTGAGCAAATTCAGGAATTGTTTCAGTGCTCATGGCCAGTCCTACTCCTGGGATTTTTCATTGCCAGACTCCTGATCAACAAATACGGAGGGAATCTTAATTCAATTCCAGGTCCTTTCTTTGCCGGTTTCACGAATATTTGGCGTGTTCTCAATACCCTCCTCTCCAACCCAACCGAGACACAGATTCAGTTGCATCGGAAGCTCAACTCGAATTTTGTGCGGATTGGCCCTCGCGTTGTGTCTATATCTGACCCAAAACTCATACCAACAATTTACGGAATCAAGTCAGAGTTCACGAAGACCTCGTTTTATTCAATCGCCGAACTGTGGTACGAAGGGAAGTGCACGCCGAGTCTTTTTGAGTGTCGAGATGAAGCCTATCATGCACAGATCAGGAAACCTCTCGTGAATGCATACAGTATGACAACAATGATTGACTTTGAACCCGCGGTGAACTCGACCACTGAGTTGTTCATGTCAAAACTGGACCACTTTGTTGTTTCTGGGGAGCCATTGAAGTTGGAAGTGTGGCTACACCGCTATGCATTTGACGTAATGTAGGTGATGCCCTCGTCAGACAGAAGACCTTACTGACATGGTTGATAGAGGCGAGATTCTGTTCAGTAAGAAACTAGGCTTTCTCGAATCGGGGACCGATGTTGAGTCCATCATGGCTGGAATTCGAGCTTTTACCCAGTATCTTTCAGTCGTAAGTGCTTCTTGGCTTGCTACCAGGACGTCTCGGGTAAAACTGACCATTTCCACATGTGAAGGCTGGACAGATTCCAATCGTGGACCATTTTCTGTTGAAGAACCCTCTCATGCTGAGATATGGACCGGCCAACCCCATAGTAACATTCACACTCAATCGAATGAAAGAGAGGGCGGCCTGGAAGGCAAGTCGGGGTCAGACAAAGCGGGACTTTCTTGAAAGATGTCTCGAAGCTCAAGCCAAATACCCAGAGGTGGTAACAGACAGAATGGTCATGCTTTACAACTTTGACAACATTGCTGCTGGGTCTGACACGACCGCATTGACTCTGACTTCGGTGAGAATGCACGACTCTTTAACGTGTCTGTTCTCATAAACCTATGGCTACTGACATCCTCATCTGATAGCTCTTTTATTATCTTCTCAAGAACCCGGCGACGCTGGGAAAGGCTGTTGAGGAGTTGGATTGTGCTGATAAAGAGGGCCGACTTAGCGAATATGTCACCTGGCGCGAGGCGAGGAAGTTGGCATATCTGCAAGCCTGCATAAAGGAAGGAATACGCAAGTTCACCCTGCTTCGTGTCGTCCCTGGAAACTAGTTCTGATAATTGTGCGTTGTGTGTAGGTATGCATCCTCCCATCGGCCTCATCCTCGAACGACACGTCCCAAAGGGTGGCATTGTACTGGGCGGCCATTACTTTCCCGAAGGTACAATCGTGGGAGTGAACGCATGGGTCACAGCGTGAGTTACCCTCCTGTTGTTTCATGTTCGATCCCCTTGAGGAATGTCGGAATGGCTCACCCTCAGCTACAGACGAAACAAGGAAGTCTACGGTGAGGACTGCGACTGTTTCAGGCCAGAACGATGGCTCGAGGCGTCGGAGGAACAACTTATGGCTATGGAACGAGGCAACCTTGCAGTAAGAAGTTTCCCGCTGTGGAATGCGGGCAATGCAGGTCAGAAGACTGACCATTTTGACAGTTTGGCTATGGCAAGCGCGGATGCCTAGGCAAGAGCATTGCACTGTTGGAGGTTTCGAAGCTGGTGCCGCAGCTGCTTCGCCATTACGAGGTAGGTCGATTGCAGGGCCGGTCATGACACGTCCCGGGCCTGTCAGACGTATCAGCAAGGTTCCGTTCCATGCTCACAGTTCTTTCTCTTGCTAGTTCTCATTCACGCGGCCCGAACTGGAATGGAAACTTCATGGTGGCTGGATGGTGCGGCAAGAGGGTGTCGAAGTGGCCCTCCGCAAACGTACGTGAAAAGGGGGCAAGACAATGAATGATATGGGACCTTTGAGACCTGCAGGTTTGGGTATCTAGATTACTCGCGAAAGAAAAATCTAACCGCCAGGTGCAGTTTAGTCCCAGAGGGTGAACGAAGGCCGCCTTAACCTGAGCTTACCTGACCTTTCCTGAACCGTAGTTGAATATCACTGAGCGCGCCTTGACACCTCCAGGAGCAAAATCATCTGGCCCCGAGGCGATTGGCTACACCTGCCTCTCGGCTAGCATCTGTCCAGAATCTGTCTTGGCCGTGGTGCTGGACATACATAGCTAGCCGCCCTTACGTAGAAATCTAGATGGAACAATAGGTCAACATGATATCCTTTGGGCTTTTCTGGTCCTATTCGACCATGCTGCCTTCCGTATCGTTGTTCTCAGCGGACGTGACCGAATTCAGAGCCGCAGCAAGTTCATAGCTGCTCCGAAATGCACCCGTTGTGCAACATTTCTCAACGATTGAACCTAGCCAAATGGACTGTGTGTCGGGAGGGTACTCTCTTTAGGACCAGACCGCTCTAAGCGGGACCTGAGGTTGATCTTTGAACAAGTCAGAGTACGACTTGTCACCAGTGGTAGCCTCATACATAACAGCTCCAAGTTGCCCGATATCAATATGGATCGAGGAATCGTTGTCGTCCGTGTTCAGCGTGTCGCAACCGGGCTCCAGCGGGGAGGATTCAGTAGAATCGGAAAATACAATAGTCATGTCTTTAACGATCGTGTCTATCCGCGAGGGGTTGAGCCATCTGATGAAACCAGGGCAGTTCAAGTCCTCTTGAATCTTGATGAAGCTTGCTGGGATAGTCGCGCAGATTTTCATTTTCTTGCCGGACCATTTTGATACCACGACCAGAGAGATTGAGACTTGGAAGCACCCCGCTGCAATCTTTTCAGCGCCGATAGAGGGATTTCTCTCGTTTGATTGCCACGTCCCTTGCATCGTCCTGGGGGAAGAGGTAGGATATTGGCAATTTAATGGCCGTTGTACCGCGACACACCGTAACTCCGAGCCGCCAATTCCTATTATGGGGAAAGGAATTCCATCAAACTCTAGACTCAGCGGCAAATTATGGGCAGAAGGAGTTCAAATTAACTGGCAAGCGATATAGTATTTGCATTGTGTCCTCAGGCCCGCCAAGACCCAGTCAGTACCTCTCAACATTCCAGATCGTACGCATCTGGATTGGAAGGTTGAATACGAACTATGTACTCACTAACTCGCGACGTTATTCTGCTTCGAGTCAAGTTCTCAGGCACCAATGGACTAAGAGCACTTCTGCCTTGCGCTAGGCCAGATTTAATGAGTTGATGTGTATAACGCACCGAGTACCGAATACTCCGGGTCCTCAGTTGTATTTATACCTCTGCAGCCCTTCATGTTGAATCTGCGTCTTCGAGTCTCCTCAACTCGAGCTTCTATTGACTCAGTGCCATCACACCGACATTCACCGTTCGACTCTCGAGCTTCTAGATATCATGAGCGAAGCGCCAGCAGACAAACAGACCTTCGCGGGCTCCTGCCACTGCGGCTTCATCAAATACAAAGCCGCACTGGCCCTGACCGATCCGCCCACCGCTGGCCGCTGCAACTGCACCATCTGCCTAAAACAAGGCTTCACGGGCATCCGCCTGCCTCGCGAGGACTTCACGCTGCTCTCGCCGTCATCGCTGTCCGAGGCGCGAGACTACCAGATCCGGTCCCCGGACATCCACAAATACTTCTGTGGGACGTGCGGCATCCATGTGTGCGGCGAGGGCAAGTTCGAGTACCCCGCCGGGTCTGGGACCATGCATGAATTCTTCTCCATCAACGCCCTCACACTCGATCAGCCCCAGGACGGGCTCGACTTGAGTCGCCTCAAGATAAGCTATGTCGACGGGCGGAATGATAATTGGGGCGCGGGAGTCAAGGACGTGCCCTGGCCTGGTGGTGCTGTCTGAATGTCGCTGGAATTCTTTGTATAGGGGCAGAAAGACGGGGAGAACTCGGACCCGGCCAGGCTGATAGTGTTGAGCGAGGCTGGAGTTTGCCTCTGTTGGATGTGATCTCTACTCTCCTCTCACAACTACTTATCTATGTGTGTACCAACTCGGTACTTAAATAGGTGGCATGAGGTCGCTGTGAAACGGGAGGGAGCCTTCGCTGGGAAATGAGCATTCTGTTTACCTTTGGAAATAAAGGTGCTCTGTCCCTCACCTGGGCCGCTAGCTGTGTTCGATCTAGCGACTACTTCATCGCCACTGAGCTCTCTTTGGCTTTATTGTATGTTGCGTATCTTCTAAGTCGGACCGTGCCACTGCCACCTTTGGGTATGGAGTTCAACTCAGCTCTCGGTCATTGCAGGAGCACAAATATGTAAAGAAAAGAAGAAAAGCTAGTGTACATGATGTTGGGGTTATCAAGGCCAGGCGGATTGAAGTGTGAGTGCCGTTTGTTTTCCCCTATCCCCTGCGTAACCCAGCGCAAGCACTATGTTCAAGCTCCCTTCCTTTTTACTCGCACTTGGTCTCAATTCTGCCGTCGAAGGTTGAATAATTGCAGAGCATCGTCCCACAGCCCCCGATTTGCTGGGTTCCCAAGGCGCTCCATGCCCGTCCAGAGTAAGGTGTGACGCATATCGAGCCCCACGGTATTAGGATTGCGTGTGGCGCCAACCACACCCTCATTGATATGAGAATTAGCATCCCACTCATCGAGGATCGCGAAACGCTTCAAATTCGGATGTCGACACATAGCATCGAACAGCACTTCCCATGCCTCATGGTCCGACTCCTGCAGTCGCTGTCCATCGACACCCTGAGGGTGGCAGTCTCTCAGCGAGATCTCCTCCAATGCGACACAGCGGCTGACAAGCTCCGCAAACCATGGGATCGTGAGCACCACACCCCCGAGCTTGAGGGAGCGCAGGCGTGGAAAGTGGAGGCCTGCACTGCGAGGCCACGAAAGGCGAGGAACCTCCACGTAGTGGTCGATGCTCAATTCCTTCAAATTAGACATAGCTTTTCGAAGGCACTCGTTCAAGCCGGTTTCCGCCACTTCATCAAGTTCCACAAAGTCGTCGTCGTCGTCGTTTTCTTCCACGATGTTCAAGTCTGGAAACTTAAAGATTTCGAGTTTCGTGAGATCCAATTTGTCCCACGAAGGATATTGCCATCCACGGAAGTGCTTTGCCAGTGCTCTGTGGATTGAGAGGGTCTTGATCTGTACTTTGGAAGCCGCAAGACACTGTATAGTTGTTCTGAACATTTGATCTTCACATGTGCCTGCACGATCGTACAGGGTGCATTTGACGTCGTAGCAAGACCGACAATGCACCGTTCCTGACTCTAAGTCGTCACTTGGATCGAGAGGGTGCCTGCCGAACAGCGAAAACAGTTCAAAATCGTTCACATGCTCTAATTTCAGGAGCGTTGCGGTCCAGAGACATTGCAGCTCCCCGCTCATCACAAGGTCTTGATCTATGTAGGCTTGTTGACGATAAGCTTTGAACACAACCCCAATCCGATCTTCTGTTCTTGGAATATCGCCCCAGTGTTGTACAATATGTCTTTGACTTCGAGGAGGCATTTCGTATACATGTTGCGACAGAGTTCGAATGACTCGAGTAAAAGCAGTCAGTCCGAGACTGATGGTGAATGGACTTGGCAGGAAGTTAATCTTTGCCACAGAAGGCGCAATGGACGAGATTCTTGTTTGTCTCAAGAGGTTGAAGTTGAGCGTTGTTGCCTGTAGTGTGATCTCCTTGAACACAGCAGTCTTGATGATTTTGGCGCTTGCAAAACTCTTGCATGTCATCCTTAATGACAAGAGTGTAGACAGAACACAATATCTGTTTCAAAGTCAGCTTGAATCTCAGTCCGACACTATGAGGCGAGTTACCTCTCCTCCTTCTGATCTCGCGACCACATTTTATTGCGCAGACGCTCAAATTCTGTCACCAATACCTCCACTACCATGTATTGGATCTCAGGCTCGAGAGCCATCTTTGAGAGCAACTTTTTCCGTGGCACAGAGGGTATTGTGCGTTAGTGCCTTTTCAGAATGTCGCGATCGTGATCCGTCAAAACAGTCTGAGCGTGAGAAGTCCATGAAGACAACCCCCAGGAAGACAACTTGAAGGAGCTCATCTCTGTATCCGGTAGGTAAAGCGGCGAGATTTCCTTCACGCCTTGTCTGTGAAGTATCGCTATTTCGATAACTGTGGATGGCTCAGACATTTCGCACAGTGAGCTCACATACTCTAGAACCTGGCGGCATAAACGTGTATACACATATATACACTTCCTTAAAGCAGCGACTGTTGTGATGATGCGTTTTGCGATACTCCTGGAACGATGCATATTTTTGGTCCTTCGCAGTACCTTAGTCGGAATACAGAGTCGCTTGTGAAGAGATTTTTTTTATTCATCTTCCGGTCCTTTATGGCTTGACAAACAAGGCTTTGCAGGCTCGCAGTATGAGACAGCAAACATTTGACCGATGCGTTTGCCTGCTTTAATGGATGGCATTGCAACATGTGAAGTATGAGGATGTACACCGAGCATCGAAAGATTCAACTTAGCAGAGACAGCTGTGTGGTAGGCGCACGCAAGGCTACAGTTGGCAAGGGGTGAGGAGGCTGGACTAAAACACTAGCAGAGCGGAACAATGTTTATCCAGAAAGCGCGAAGGTGGGGGCTGCTTCGCGTTACGTGGACGCGTTCCATGGACGCGCTCCATAGACGCGCTATGTGCTCACCTTTTCTCGACATGAACCGCATCCCGTAAAGCGCATTATCGTGAAGCGCACGTCGCGTGTTCCCAGCGTAAGCCGCGAGAATCTCCTTCCTCTACGTGCACCTACTCAGTCGACTGCCTCTCAATCTACTGTTAACATTACTGCACAGTCTCAGAACCGGTGACCAATGTCGCATCGCTCAGCTCTTGCTCAGTTAAGAGCTCAGCGAGCCGCGGGCAAGACACGACTTGATTCCTACCAAATCGAAGACCAGGGTGCCATTTACGACGAGGTTGATGAAGACGGGTACAAGAAAGTCGTGCGAAGTCGCCTTGACAAAGATGACTTCGTTGTTGACGACAATGGGGAAGGATATGCTGACGACGGTCGAGAAGAATGGCAAAACGAAGGACAATACTATAGTAGTGACGATGCCGAGGAGCTTCCACTGAAAGGAAAAGCTGCAAAGCGAAAACGGGAAGAAGATCGCGAGAAAGAAGACCGTACGAACCACAAGATTCTCAACTACTTCAACAATGGTCCTGTTGTTGCTCCCAAGCCAACGGTATAACCCTTTCCGTTCAGACCTTCGTGCTTGATCCTGACAGTTCTAGATCCAAACTACTGCCGAAGACGAAGCCTTCATGGCCGACCTCCTCGGAGAAGTTGACGCCAATATTCTCTCTACACGCACGTACACGGCAAAACCAGTCAAGTCCGAAAACCGACGCAAGGTCAGACTGCTATCTCCTCCACCGTCTCGCGAGCAACCTCGACTAAAGCATCAAGCCCCACCTACCGAGCTGGTCGACACTCCTCCCCCACAAGCTGCACAAGAAGAGGACGATCATCTGCCAACATTTGATGACGACAACGTCATGAGCGATCCTCTTCCTTCGTCTCCCGTCGTCAAGGCTATTGAGCGCAAGGCGAAGGTGCAGATCAAGGAGGAAGATGAAGACGAAGATGTCATAAATGTTGCTCAAGTCGTTGGGCATGCAGCACCTCAATCGACAAGTATTAACATGACTGGCAGCAGACCACCACCAAAGATCAAGTCGCCACAGCTACCAACGCCCCTGAGCTCATCTCCGCCGCTGCCCCCCGTCAACGAAGTGGACGCCTCTTCATGGAACAAGATCACCAGCAAACTCAACATCCAGAGCAGTCCATCTTCAGAAACTCGAATTTTCGGCAAGATGAAGCCTCAAGATGCTGTTGA